CTGCGGGAAGCCGCTCGCGGGCCGTACTTACATCGAGGTCGTCCATGGCCGGAGGGGGACCTTTGTCCGTCACCTTCTCCAGGAGCTGGATGGAAAACGAAGGGCTGTGGGAACTCTGAACGCCTGGACACGCCAGCCCGAGCACCCGCCCCGCGCGTGCCCCAGGACGCTGGAGCCTGTGGCCCGGCTCACCTCTGCGTACTGCTCCACCATGGCCCTCTCCACCTCCTCGTCCCCTTCCCAGTCCCGCCAGTTGTCAAAGTCCACGGAGAGCCAGGCTGGCTGTGGGTAGAGAGAGCATCCCCTGAGGGAGGGAGCAGCACAGCTCTGTCCTTGGAGCCCAGGGATTGCACTGTGGGGTGGGCACAGGCTGATCCTGCCCACAGGCGAGGGGACTGGGGAAGGGAGCACATTCCCTCAGCTGCAGGTGCTGGTCCTGACCCTGCCTGTGTTGAGGGAAAAGGGAGCCACATGCAGAGGTCCATGGTGGTGACCATGAGGTTGGGCTCTTTGGAAGCTCTGTGGTGGGGTCCCTACATGGGACCCTTGGCGTCTGTCCCAGGGGCAGGTTGGTCCCTGGGAACCGTGAGTTGCTGTGTAGGGACAGCACATGTCCTGAGGCTGGTCCTGGCAGCCAGGCACCACACACACCTTGATGTTCTCCTTGGTGAGGCGGGGCCAGGCCACCTTCTCCTTCCACTTCCTCATAAAACACGTGATGGAGCGGTCGGAACGCTTGTCCTGTGAGTCCTGCCAAGAGATGAGGGGTGCCTCACCTCAGTGTCTGCTGGACTCCTCTCTGTAATCCACTGCAGACATGCACAAGATTAAAGCTCAGCCACATTCAGGCTGTGGCGATGCAGAACCACAGAGACAGGTTGTTTCTGGTCCAAGGCAGCACTGTGAATGCCAGGCCCAGCGTCAGGGCTCCCAGATTTGCACTCACCCCTCTCAGGGATTCAACACTAAGTGGTGTTGCACAGAACTGCACAGGTTCGGTTTAACTCTGAGCCTGGTGCGGGCTGTCAGAGAACAGTTTGCCATGGGGAAACCTCACCTTGGAGTTGACCCTTGCATACAGGTCGATCTCATTGTAGAACTCCACGCCATCTGCATTTTTGCAGCTGCCAAAACACGGTAACAGCCTGGCTTAGGAGAGGGCTGAGGCCACACGTGGCCTGTCCCCCACACCACCCCCAGCTCAGGGCTGTGTCCCTGGCTGGCAGGGCAGTGGCTCCTCACCTGAACACCAGCCGCTGGTCCTCAATGACGACCTTAACATCTGTGCTGTCCTCCACACAGAACTCCAGGTACACGTACCGCGGGCGGTCATACCACAGCGTCTTCGCAGGTTGCCTTGACAAGGGACAGACCAGTGGGTGGGGACGGGGCGAGGAAGGTGCCCCAAACGTGTACCCCACCCTGGCCGAGCTCTGGGGCTGGCGGCGGGAGCGAGGCGGGTGCAGGGCCGGGTGGTGGGTGC